CATTTTATTATTGAACGAAAGCTAGCTATGTGGTACTCTATTACCAATACATTTACTCCTAAGTGCCTTTAAATAACAGAAACTGCCCAGGACCTATTAATGCAGAAGGACCAGGAAGCTCGTAAGCCAAGAGAAAGAAGCTTAAGGTTGCCTATTAATTTTGGCTAATATTAAATCATGACATAGCTTACATGTAAGGATCACAGTTCAATTATGAGCCATAAAGAAGTTTGAAGAGAAGATTTATAAGATATTTTTAAGCACATTAGTGCATATTGTGGAAGCAGTGAGGGTGCCTCATGCCCACGTAACGACAGACCCACGCCCTAGTGTGTAAATCCAAACACAATTATTCTCAGCCTAACAGTGAGAGGTGGCAAAGTTGAGCATGTCTCTGCTGAAAGCTGTACTGCACTGATGCTCAGATAGATATCTTCTTAAAGTAACAGCATGGCAATGAGGTTATTCTGTCAGCTATAAGTTCTGAAAAATTATTTAAAAATACTTTCTTTAACTCACTTCTTTTAGTATTTATAGACACAACGTGGAAGAATAGGATTGATGGTCTGTACTTTCTGTGTGACTGGTGAATATTTCGTTATTTCTCAATTTAAATGACATATTTTACAAAAGTACCATGGCTTTTCAAAGACATGTCTTCTTTGACAAAAATCTTAAACAATTCGTTGTACTTGGATAATTACTTAAGTACCCCTGAAGTTATCTAAGATGATGCAAATTAATATAGTTGGGAAATCAACAAGCACATGCCACCTTATAAATAAAGATTATGAAGTAAAGATAAGAAACAGGATTAACCCAGTTCTCGGTACACTTTTTTCAAAACCAGTGTGTTCAGTATTTTTGCCTTCCTAAGAGGTTCTTTCAGATGTTTGAACAAAGTGATTGACTTGATATAAATGCAATGAATAAATAAAAGACATAATATGGAATGGATGACTCCAAAAATGAAAGACAATATTTTAAAATTAAAAATCAAAACACCAAAGCAACAGAAAACTTGTAGTTTATATCTTGATATAAGTTAAAGGAAAAATATACCCACTTGCATAGTTCTAACCCAGTGAACACGAATGTACTGAGTGCTAATGATGTTCCTGACTAGAGCAGAGTGAGGAGGAAAGTTTTACTCTTATAATGTGGGACAGAATGAGATATACAAAAAGGAGAGAGAGAGAGTGAGGAGGGGGACAGGGAGGAAGAGGGGGGAAGGGAGGAAGGGAAGAAGAGAGAGAGGGAAGGAGGAAGAGAGGGAGGGAGGGAGGGAGGGAGAGAGACAGAGAGAGAACTAGAAAAAGAACTATTGCCAAATGTATAAAGACTAAGGGATGAAGCTGAGTATTTAAGATTGGAAAAACAATTCATTTTGGTCATCTAATAGTAATACAAAGAAAAACTCAAAAGAGGAGTAGGTCATACTTGGGAGGAATGTGTCAACATACAAAGGAAAGAGCATTTGAGAACTGAAAGGAACTGTTATCCTTGGGCTTAAGTGCTGAGCAGGATACAATAGATGAGTCTTGTCACCTATATACATTATTTTGCTTATAAACCTTAAACACAGAATACCAACATAGGATTTTATTTTGAGAAAGACAAAGAGTACCCATTTTTGTATAAAAAGCAAACATTTAATAAAAGTAATAAAAGCAGAACAGTTAATTCTGTGTTATCAAAGCAGTGAAATTTTATACCCAACTGAACTACTGGTACAGCATGTGGGCATTAGCTGAAGAATATAACTTAGTAATAAAGATTGCACAGTATGAAGGTTTGATCCCAAGCAACACACACACAGACTACACACACACACACACACACACACACACACACACCCCACAAAACCATACCAGACAAATTCCAAATTTTGCCCTAGTAAGGTTGATGGAAGTCTGAGGTCTTCTTTCAAAGCACAGAAACAATCAAACACAACCAGATAAGATTAGATATATTGAAGAGGTTTTTTTTTGACAATCAAATTCTCGTGTGTTCTAAATGAGCTAATGATTTCTGTTTCATAGTAAAAAAAAGAATTCAAATCACAGAGAGTAATTATGAGGTTTCCAGGAGAGCAAATACAGCACAAAAGATCTAGAGAAAACTAGAAGGTAATGAGACCGGAACACACCATTGCAAGATGAGGATCCTTTATGAATTCACAAGAAATTTAGAGGGAAAAAAGCAGGTATGGTAGAATAGAACAGAGAGGCAGGTGAGAAAGCTTTTAATGAGATAAGAGAAAAGATGGCAAGACAAAAAAGCAGAGAACTCTTGTGGGAGTTATCTGCACAAAAACGTCACAACAAAATCAGATTGATTTTAACTATTGAAACGTAATCTTGAGAAGTAAGAACATTATCCATTGTGAAACCCATCAGCCATGGCATTGTTTAAGAACTTTAAGAATGATAAAGACACCAAAACATTAAACATACAAAAGATACTGAGAGACTAGTCACCATTGAAGATCTGAAAGATATTGGCAAACTAGTCTCCACTCTCACCAGAGATATGGAGCCCAGCTCCAGAATACTTGTGCAGAGAAAACAGTGTGATATCCCTTTAAGAGCAGAGGGGTAGCTGAATTAGAAACATGGCTTAGTAACATACTTTCTGAGTTCCCTCTGCTATCTTTAAATCTTTAAATAGATTTCATATACTAATAATTAAACATGGAGGTAGTATGGTATTAATTTCATTTAGTTTCTATCCATAGTAAGATGAATAAGCTATTTTCTAAGCACATAGCTCTACTATTTTTATAGCAGGAAATACTGGTTGTTCTTAAAGGAAACAGCAGAAGCCCGAACACCAAGCAATTGTTACCTCTTCTAAAAGCTGTAAACCTATCTATTTCCTATTCATGGACATCAATACTATTATTTGAAAGAGTACAATAGAGAATTTTTGGTGAAACTAAAGAGCTATTCAATATAAATGAGTTGCAGTCATGTACAAACACATCTTCCACCCTAAAATGTACTGATCACTCACAATCTACATGATTCAATTTGTGTGTCCAGCGAGAAAATCACTGTAGTAAACTCATACCTCTGAAAATGGCTCATCCTCTCTTAGGTAATGTGAATACATTTGGATAGTTTCAGAGGTTATCTGGTTGCTTGCCATCTTATCTATGCTATCACTATATTTTCCTCAAGAGCTATGTTATAATATTATAAAATGCAGCCCTGTCAAGTGGCTTTCCAAATAGAGGTTTTGGCCTGTGCAATCAGATCGTGGCTCAAAACCATACATTTTGCATAAAGGGCTTGTGACTATGTGTGCTTTGTGGATACCATGCTGAGTGCCACAGTCTATAAGGCACTGGTCTTTCTGTTCCCACAATGAGGGTTGACTAATTTCAGAGCTTACTCCTCTCCACCTTTGGAAACAAGTACGTAAGACAGAAAATATTGAAAACTGGCAAGGACCCTGAGCAATCTACACTGTGTCTGGAGAACCACAAAAGAGGAAGTGTAACTCACCTACTCAGGTCGTGAGGCTGCTGTTCACATCTACAGAGTCAGTATAAAGAACATGATACAAACATCCCCTTTAAATGCACTGCAGATTCGTTTATAGAGATCATTCACACTCTTTCTAAATATTCTTACCCTTGAAAGAATTAAAAAAAAAACTGGTGGAATGAACTATTTATGATTCATCATTTATTCTATATACTTTTTCTCAAGTAATTGAAAGCTTGAATTTTACTTTCCTTCCTAACTCTTGGCCTTAACTGTGATAAGAAAATTGTGCTGAAGTGCTGAATTTGACTAGCTAGATCCTTTTAAAAATTGGTTTAATGCCATTTATCCAGATGAAAAACGAAATCTCAGTGAAAGTCTCTGAGAAAAGTTCATAGATAAAATTGAAACAAGCCAGGAAGTGACTACATTTGCATAACTTGATCTGTATTTGGAAAAAAATAGATGCTGCTAAAGACAACAATAGAAGCTTATCAAATCAGAATTACACATAGATTTTCCATAGCTCTGCTAATGAATACTGACTCATTGGTGAGCTATGGCGAAGAGGCAATGGAGCTCGAGATAGGAAAACAGCAAGCAGCAGTCAGGATAACTGCATTAGGATTGGCTGCATCCCTCAGCCCATTCTAGAGGGCACTGGAGAGGCTAATTTGCTTACCTGATTGGAGCCAGATCAGATAAATCAGATCGTGTCACTAAACTAAGATGTTGTTCGTTATTTCTGTAGTAGTCACAAAAAAATTTTAAGCTTGGGAAAAATTAGTATTGTGTGAGATGCAATGTATTTTCTATATCTATTAACTAGGCTAATAATTAGCACCTATCTTTCTAAAATTGCATCATCTATAGGATGTACTCAACGGTAGAACTGGCTGAAGGTTATTCAATGAAGTGGATTAGGTAGTGTTCTAAATGCCCTCTCTAGCCATGTTTGAATATTCCCATTTAACATACGGCAAAGCTGAGGTCCAGGAAATCCACAACTTCTACAGTATCATTAGAATTAACTGGTAGACACAATGTCTGAACACTTGGAAATGTTTTGCTAGTCTTAGTAGCAAATACAGTTTAGTATTTTTTTCTCTGTCTGGCATATCTTTGCAGGAGTATCTCCTCATCTTGCTTCATGCTGAACTGTCATTCTAAGGGATCTCTGACTCTCTTCCTAGCATTCTCTAAGACTCTGGTTTCAGTGACTAGACACTAGTATTTAAATCAGGAAACACTTGACAGTAAAAGGGAGGTACTGATATTACTTGTGCAAAGACAACAAATATGAACAGCACAGGCCCATAGGAGCATGCTGCCATTCTCCAAGGAGGAGCTCACTTCTCTGCCCCTGATGCAGAGGCCAGGTCTTCTGAGGCTAACTCTGGATATTTCTTTTTTCTATAATCTCACAGCACCAACTCAACGGTCATTTTTCTGAACAACTATATTTTCCTCCATTCCAGAACAAGCTGCAACAGCATCACTGTCTGTTACCTTTAATGATTCCCTTTTCTTGCAAAGTTTTCAGAGAAGGTCTTCGGGAGATGAACTTCTTCAGTCTGCTCTTCACGCGGTTCTTGTCACTTGAATCAGAAGCACTGTGCTGCAGTCGGAACACTGGGGATTAAAAACAAACTAGAGTTTTGTTTTGTTTTATTTCTTGCGGAGGGTGTTGCTACATTTTTGTTTATGATTATTACTCTGTGCAAGAACAAATGCGAGAAAGAAGTAGCAGAGTGACTACCTGGATGACTACCAGGGTCCTGCTATCTAGGTAGGGCAAATTTCTCTATCCAGAAGCATGGTGCTATTATTACCCAATGTGCAAATGGAACAGGGCTAGCCACAACTCATTACTATGTCTACTTACTTATGTTAAACATAGAAAACTTTCCTCTAGATAATTCCACATCCTTGTATCTAGAAACAAAATTAGAGCCAAAAAAAAATCATCCAAACCGGATGGAGCACTTAAGCTTTGTTAATTTCAGTGAATGTTGATTATGTTATTTTTGTATAAGGTGGTGTTTTGGAAGTTTTACATACTCAAGTACTTTTGTTACTCTTCTTTTTATATTAACTCATGTGATTATTTTTTTTAGTCATTTCTTTCAGAATTTCCATGTTCTTCTACTCTTCTGCCTTTAGATCTTAGTTCTATTTTCAGTTAAATAGAAATTCAGTCCTGAACAAAAGCCTGCTGAACACATTCTGATCATTACACTCCATACAAAGAGCTATGAATTCAGTGACCAAGTAGCCCATAAGCTCTGGGTTTTCACTATACCTATTGCCATATTCTTGGCTGTTATTATTAATTACTCATGGCAATTTGACATGTCTGTGGAAAATCTGTTTTCGCTGTTTTGACACAATTATACACAAAACTGTGAGGTCTGTTTCTTAAAATCTTCCTGGTTCAGGGGTTGAGAAACCCTGTAATTGGTCATGTAAAGGTCTGCATCGTCTGTCCTCCAACTTGAACCCTGGGCAGAACAACCTTCAGTTGGATTAGGCTTCCCATCTCAAAATGAAGCATCCAGCTGGGAAGGCAGAAGGAGGTGAAGACTCTGCCTACCTGGGAGTTGAGGAGAATGAGATTTTTAATTTTTAAATTAAATTTAAAAGTTTGGTTGAGACCAGACATGGGGTGCTATATAGAACTGACAACAATGTCATTGAAAAAGATCATAATACTTAATTGAACCTGAAATGAACATTTTTCAACTATCTGTTTTAGTCCCAGCAAGTGTTGCTGTTGTAGCTATAGAGAGCTTCTATATAAACTGTGCGGGACATTGAGCAGTTTCCCAATCCCTACCCAACACTTTGCCAGCAGTACCCCTTCCTCAAAGCATGGAGATCCAAAGCACTTCTACACATAGCCAATGTGTCTTGGATGCAGGTGAAATTGTTACTGATTGAAAATTATTGCCTAAACCAATTGGGTCATTTATATGTTTATGCGAGACATCCATACGTTTCCATTTCTTATCTCACCTCAAATCCCTACAAATCTTGTGACAGAATGTCAAAAATTGTAGGATCAGGAAAGGTATTTTTATTTTTATTTTATTTTTTTTACCATTACCTAACTTGCAAGCATGATGTGATTAGAAAATTCGTTGCAAATCAACACACACACACACACACACACACACTCACACATGCTCATACACATTACAAATGCTACATTATGAAAATAATTATGTAGTGAGTTATATCCTTTTGAAACCCCCTAGGTACTCCAGAGAGCTATTCTTAATTAGAGAGATATATATGTATATTATATTGTTTTCAATACCACCATCTGGCTCCAAATGTGAGAAATGTCTGTAAGGTGTATTGGATTGTAAGGGAAATGGAAGTAGGGTTCTAAATGTTTTATCTCCTTCCCTTCTACACATCCTAACAGCATCCTGGGTAGGATCACACAGTTTTTAACAGAGAAAAACTCCAAAGGTATTTGTAATGATGACCTTCGTGAGTGTCAGCTTCCATTTCCTTAAGCCATAAATAATCACCCTTAGACAAGTCAGACTGCAAGGCCGTTACCATCATTGCTTTGCTCATTTTGCTCTGAGGGGAGTTATGAAGATGTTGAGCTCAGTCAAAGATAGTAATATATGGCATACTTTTTATTAACCAAATAACTTGAAAGGAAGTGCTATAAATACAAAATAAAAATGTAAGAAACGCCTGGCCATGAAGACAGGTCCTTCACTGGACCCTGCAACCAGCAGTAAAAAGCCTCTGAATATTGTGGCTTACAAATCTGATTTTAACAGCCAAACTTATAAAACAGTTTATGCTTTTCTGTTGTCAAGGGAGAAGAACTTGCCAAATTGTTCATTTTAAGTAAATACAACATAAGCAATTAAGGCAGGCAAAGTTTAAACACATGCCTGTGATAAGCAGGACAGCTCGCTCCTGATCTCACTACTGATTCCCCAGAACACTGTTCCTTCCCTTTTCCCACAGTACCCAGTGACCCCACACATACTTTTAGAAACTTGTAATCACACAGTGCAAATAAAAGGACACTTTACTGGAAAATACACAGCATGGTACAATAATCCATCATTTATGAAAAATAGAATTCAGCCTTTTCTTTTTCCTCAGAGATTTAACTACTTTTTGAGGGTGAAACTTCCTGCAGCTTAAGATTTATGTTAAGCCAATGAGCAGTTTTTTTTCCATTCCCATTTAAACATTTTATTTGAAAATGAAAAGCACTGAAAGAGATATGGTTTGAATTCTAAAGCACTTAATCTGATTTGCAGACGGGAACAGGAATTTCTCTTAATTCTATGTAGTGTCACCTCCATGTAAGTTAGCTTGGTTGTACTCGATTTCCAGGGTATCTGGAACTAATGTAGGTTATGCTTCCCTCCTATTTTTCCACTGATGGTGATATCTCCTTTGAAGCTCAAATAGTATGTTTTTTTTTCAAAGACCAAGAATCTTAAAGAAAAAAAGAAACAGTATGTGATGTAAGTCTCTGCACATAGAAGCAAATAACACTACCTTTAAACATGATTCGTAGCCAGTTCAGAGATTTAACTGGTGCTAAGGCAGACGGGCACTAGGATCCTGGGCTTTGGAAGATGTTAAAGAGATTGGCTTTCTCAAGTGATCTTCACTTAAGAGCATTATGTATGACAGTAGGCATTAGCTCAACAAACGTCTTCTCCCCAGGCCAGCCGTTTGAGTTCACTGGTATCTCTTGTACATATTTCCCACAGTAGAGTAGGAATAGATAGAAGGGCCACACAGTGTGGAGGACAGTCATCTATGACCATTCTATTGAGTGTATGAGAACCACAAAAGAAAACCCCAAATCTTCCAGAATCTAACAGTTTGGATAATATAATCCAGGATCGTGTATCTGCCAGAACTTTGCTTGCTTGGGACTTATTTTGAAATATTTCCTTTTCCTGCCAAACTGCTGTTCTCGCAGTATTCCCATGTCACAATTACATGTTTTCATTGTTATTTTTTTATATATTTGGAAATTCTAGGAGAGTTAAGGATTCAGAAATGTCACTAAAAGAGAGAAGAGCTGTAACCCTTTAGAAATGCAGTTTTGAACACTTTTCTGTGTTCCTCTTTCTCATTTTACTAATGACTTTTGGTGTGAAGCAACCCCAGGTGTAGCTAAAGAGTCCTGCTATCAGGCAGGAGTCCCCTAGCACTTCAGTTTCCATTCAGCAGGACAACAGGGCAAAGCTGGCAGGAGAGGCAAGTGCAGTCAGCTTGGCACCCTGTAGTATCCACAGGGAGAGATCCAGAAAGAAATGCTAGAATAAGGTGAAGCCAAGCCTTTATCCTTAGAGGCCCTGAGATAATTCCCAAGCCATTCCAAGGGCTGCATGACTAGTGTGGTGTTGTCTCAACTCAGGTTTTCCAACATAACTTCCTTGTATTTGGGATTATTCAGTATTGATACTTTCCTAAACTTCTTAAGGGGACATTACTCAAAATTGATGGAAAAAGAGAAAGAAAGCCCATTAAGTTTCTTTTCAGCATTTGCCTGTTTCTGCACAAGGTATACACATTTGAGCTAATGATGGCACTGGAATGGACACTGTCATGTCCTTTCCAGCAGGTAGTTTTAAAGCATCCAGTGTTGTGTGTTACTTATTATGCTGGAGTGGAGTGGTCAAAAGGAGAAGGTTTAGCCTTAAAATACTGTTGGTCATGCAATATCTCCTTTTCCCACATGCTCAATATAAGTAGAATCCATAATCTAAACCCCCAATATACAGTCTGAGAAACCAAATTTTTGAAACTTTAAGTGACTCATTCAAAGTAAAAATAATGATTAAATCTGGAAATAGTTAACAGAGTTAATGCAGGGAGTTTGAACAGCAGTACTTCATTTTAACCGCTTAAGTCCCACTTAGACATTGTAAAAATACAAGACAGGAGATTTGATTCATAATGAAAGGGTTTGCATACATCATATATTCAGTACCCTTTTATGGAGAAGTGAGAATTCATATAGTGAAATTGTTTACTTTTAGAATAAATTTTCTAGCTAAATAGTCAAGTCTGAACCCACTTTTAAAATCTCAGTGTTATTAAAGAGCTGGGACTACTATAATTCAACCATATGTAAATTCCGTGGGTACTTTTTCCAGTAAAACGTGTATGTATCCATGTCTTCCTCCTCTAATGAGTTCATCATCTGTGAACTACTCAGTGATGCAATATGCAACCTTCTTTCCATGACAGATTTATCAAGTTTCTTTTTATGATCTAGTGTGTAAAAAGATATTTGTACTGGTTGAATTTATACTTCATTTCCAGAAGAACAAAAGGAAATAAGAGAAAATATACTTTAATAGCATCCATCTATTATTTAGAGAAACACAACTTAGCTGTTCCCTAAAATAGGATCAGCAACAGTGTAGGATATAGGGTCAGCTCATTAAAACATTCCTCTATCGACTAGATATTTTATCTTGACTCCCCATGAATTGACACGGTGCCAGTAAACTATTCTGAACACAACTTTGATAAATTTGCTAATAAAGTATGTGGCTCCTGAGCTAAAGCCATGGCTGAATTTGAAATTTCAATCATGGGGAAGATAAAGATAGAGAGGCAGAGAG